ACAAAGCTACTTGGGATATTTAGTTGTTTCTGGTTTGTTGCATTTCCTTTTTGTTATAAGACGATTTTGGTTGCTGTTGTTTTTTGTCTTTGGAGTGAACAAAACATGAGTTTTGGTATCAAACAGATTAAGTACTATCTCAGATTCTCATTACCTCTCGTAGTTTATGTCATTTTGTTCTGGAATTCTCTGGTCATTAGATGATATTAAACTACTTTGATTGATTATCAGACATTTATCTGCTCAAACTCATCAAATGTCTTCGCTTAACTCTTCAAACGGTAAGCATTCTCGACAGCTTTATTTGATAAAAGGCCATAAATGGGCCTAAGAGAGAAAGCTCTCAAAACACATAAAGGCCCATTAAGTTTGGTTGTTCTTCTTCATCATCACTGTATGTGTCTATGTGACAGTTAGAGTCGGAGATGTCTTCTCAAAACTGAGTAAGTAGCCGTTAATTAAAACGGTAACAATTTGAATTAGAGTTTTTCTCAATTGTTCTATAAATACATCAATGTGTTTGTGTGCTTCCAATTCTTTAGCCAAGAAAAAAAAAACTACAAATTAGCCAAGAACAATGTCTCTCTCTCTCTCTTTTGATTGGTTCCTCTATGTGTTCTTCAATCCAACAAAGATTCATTGTTCAAGTAAGTTTTTAAAAACTGAATCTTTCTCAAACGTCTCTGTTTTCTGTGATTTTGCTCTCAATTCGTCAAAAGATACTTATTTAGTTGAAGAGATGAGTAATTCGATTATCATTGTTTTCGATTATAGATGTTTTTGGAAGTAATAATAATCCGACAACTGTGGAGATTTAGGCGCATCAAAGAGATGAGAGGTCCATGTTTGTAGCAACTTTTGCTCAAGCCAAGTCTTCTTGTAAAATGAAATCAGGTACGTTAATTTTAGACTCGTAGTTCAATAATAAGATGGATCAGGTATGTTATAGCTATGACAAATTTGTAATTGTGGAAATTAAATTGATTTCCTATATTTTTGTGTTTGTAAATATGATGATGTGTAGCAGAAATCCAATGGCGCAAGGCTTCAACAACAACACAAAGTCTATCACAATCATTCGGACATGATGGTATAAGTTTTGTTTTCACTGATTTTTAAAAAATTTGGATTTTAATTAGAAAAAAGTTGAATGCTAATCTTATATAATTGTGAAAAACATTCGGAGATGGTGTCTTGTCTTTGACTCATGTCTTTGATCGTTAGCGGTATCAAATCCGTCTTGTGGACACAACATAGTGTAGTTTTAGCATTCAATTTTTGGATAATTATTTGTTTTCTTTAAAATTTTGGATTTTGATTAGAAAAAAATTAAGTGCTAATTTTATATAATTGTGAAAGCCATTCGGAGATGGTGTCTTGTCTTAGACTCATATCTTTGATCGTTAGCGGTGCCAAATCCATCTTGTGTGGACACAACATAATGTAAAGTTAGCATCTAATTTTTGGATAATTATTTTTTT